GCTCCGCCCCCTCTTCACCCGAGTGTCCAAGACATATGGCCGGAGGTCAGATGAAACGATCACAAAATCAGTCCTCAACCTCTGGCCTAGGGTGTCCTGGTACCATGTGCACTGATGGACACCCTTATGCTTGAACATGGTGTTTGTTATGGACAAACTGACTAGCACAGAAGTCCAATAACAGAACACCACTCGGGTTCAGACTGGGGGGGCCGTTCCTCCCAATCACGCCCCTCCAGGTGTCACTGTCGCTGCCCACGTGGGCGTTGAAGTCCCCCAGGAGAACAATGAAGTCCCCAGTCGAGGCCTTTTCCAGCACCCCTCCCAGGGACTCCAAGAAGGCCGAGTACTCTACACTGCCATTCGGCCCGTAGGCACAAACGGCAGTGAGAGACCTATCCCCGACCCGAAGGTGCAGGGAAGCGACCCTCTCGTTTACCGGGGTAAACTCCAACACATGGCGGCTAAGCTGGGGAGCTATGAGCAAGCCCACACCAGCCCGCCGCCTCTCGGGAGGACGTCCCCACGTCGCTCGTTCGGGCTAAGCCCCGTGAGGGGAGGCCCGGCCACCAGGCACTCGCATTCGAGCCCCAACCCTGGGCCTGGCTCCAGGGTGGGGCCCCGGCTACGCCATGCTGGGCGACGTCACGGTCCTTGATTTTAATCTATTCATAAAGGGCTTTTGAACTGCTCTATGTCTGACCCGTCACCCAGGAGCTGTTTGCCTTGGGAGACTCTACCAGGGACATATAGCCCCCGACAACATAGCTCCTAGGATCACTCGGGTACTCAAACCCCTCCACCACAATAAGGTGGCGGTTCAAGGAGGGGACAACCAGAACTTGTAAGACAGAATAACTGACTGAGCACAACTGACCTGGTAATCCTGAAATAAAAATGTGTAAACAAAAAGTTATGTTATTCCTAAATCAGACTCCACTTCATTCGTCAGACAAATTTAAGGAACAGAAAGAGATGGTTGTTTAGGACCAAGTGCAGCAGTAAGAAAAACAGTAATTTTATTCTACGATTACCTGCATGAAACCTCCTCTGCACATGTCCAAACCATCTCAGTCTGGCCTCTCTGACCTTGTCCCCAAAACAGCCGATCTGAGCTGTCCCTCTGATGTGCTCATTCCTAATCCTGTCCATCCTGGTCACTCTGAAAGAGAACCTCAACATCCTCATCTCTGCTACCTTCATCTCTGCCTCTTGTCTTTTCCTCACTGCTACAATCTCTAACTCATACAGCATAGCTGGTCTCACTGCTGTCTTGTACACCTTTCCTTTGATTCTTGCTGCCACTCTTCTGTCACACAACACTCCTGACACCTTTCTTCACCCACTCCAACCTGCCTGCACTCACCTCTTCACCTCTTTCCTACACTCCCCATCACACTGGACTGTTGACCCCAAATACTTGAACTCCTGCACCTTCTGGACCTCAGCCCCCTGTAACCTCACTGTTCCACTTCCCTCCCTCTCGTTCATACACATGTATTCTGTCTTACTACGACTGACTTTCATTCTTCTTCTTTCCAGAGCAGACCTCCACCTTTCCAGGTGTTCCTCCACCTGCTCTCTGCTCTCACTACAGATCTCAATGTCATCCGCAAACATCATTGTCCACAGAAATTCCTGTCTGACCTCATCCGTTTCTCCCAGCTGCTGTTCTGAGATCTCTCCACTGGCGCTCTATGGGATTTAGATCTGGACTCATTGCTGGCCCCTTCAGAAGTCTCCAGCGCATCATCTGAAACCATTTCTGGTGCTTTTTGAAGTCTCCTTTGGGTCATTGTCTATTTCTGGAGTTCTGTGTGGAATGTCTCATATTTGGCTTTTTGTGTTGTTCCAATGCAGACAAAAGAAATAAACATAACAGAATACCAAAGAATTTGTGATTGCAACAATTTTCTGAGAAGTGGTTTGTCAATATTTCTGGCCATGACTGTAGCTGTTTGCAGTTTCAGTACACTCCCATGATTTTAATATAAACCAGGAGTATGTTTTCTGATTTCTTTCACTTCACCACAACTTGCCAGAGCTGCATAAAATCTTTGACTAATTTTCAAACACTTTCAGTAATTGCTTCTCAGTGATAGCCTGCTTACCATTAGCTTTGGCAGGGTTTTATCCCCTTTAACACTGGTATATTGGTCTTATTGCTCCCAGCTATGACTCTCACATTTCTTTATCTGTTGTCTAAATCTAGTTTTTCAATACACTTGAGGAAGCAAATCGATGTGGATGTTTGATTTGATCAGCTTGATTAGAGCATCAATATCAAAAGGGGCTGGAGGAAATAAAAAAATGAGCACCTATTAGATAAATATGTACCAGTAAAAATCCTCAATCAAAATATACATTAACTGACAAACACCCCAAACAACTCAAATATGGATCCACTTGACAAATGTTTACATACAACCTCAATGTTTTTATTTGACAAGCAGCAAGATCATGTTTGTCACCTTATTTTTCCATTACATTTGAAAGTAGATACAATAGTATACCAGTTTTATTACAATATTCTTTTCCCTAATTTCAGTACATTTAACAAAAAAAAAGAAAAATAAACACACAACTGCAAATGTGAGAAATGAAAGCATGTGTTTTAATGTGTAGCCAACAATGCATCAGTGATACCACAACTCTTCTGGTAATTTTCTGTTTTTCCCTCCTGTATTTTCTGTCAGCTAGTATGTTTATCCGCTCTTTTCTCTGAAATGCCTAGAGGCACTTTCTTTTTGTCGGCAGACACACAAGTGTGTGGCACTGGTGATGCTGTAAACAGTTTAAAATGAGAAGGTGGGTGAAGTTTGAAGGACCTCATGGGTGGTGGTGTCAGCTGGCTGCC